AATTAAAGACAACCAGAAAGAAAGAAATGAGAAAAGAAAGAAGAGAAAAGAAAATGAAGACGACAGACGCGATTTAACAAATTTAATTCCTCCATTTTTTAAATAAAGAAAGAGAGAAACAAAAAACAAAAAAAAGAAAGTCAAATATGAGTTCGCTCGAACGATATAAACTGGTGATCCTGGGACGGAGTCAGTCGAAATTCGAATGTCGCTTTCTTGTTGTTCTACACGGGTTGACGAATGGTGACCGGAATAGTTTAGTCTTTACTTAAACTCGATTATTTGGTCTGTTGGCTCAAGTAACTGATAAAGTCAGCCATGCAAACACACACATCTGCGCCAGTTTAATGTTCGGAAAAATTGGTCTCTCGAAAATTAGGAATGGAATTCCTGATCCACTCGCATGATGAATATTATAATTAGATGGATACTAAATAAACAATCTCTTTGTTTTCTTTTCTCCCATTTCTGATAATATTTTCGTCCTGAAATACAGAGGTAAGTTTCGTTTATCCTTTTCTGCTTCCTCTTTCCAATTTTATGTACACCAAAGATTTGTATCAAAGAACTAAGATGAATGAGCAACTTAGTGAAAATATACTTATCCTGTATTCACGAATTAATCAAACAATATTCCAGGAATTTCTAATTAGAAAGAAGAAGAAGAAGAAGAAGAAGAAGAAGAAGAAGAAGAAGAAGAAGAAGAAGAAGAAGTGAAAGAAAAGGAAGAAAAAATGACTTAGTGCCACAATTTTATTGAAAAAGTAAATACATAAATACTTTTGGGTTTCAAATATTATATCGAAGCATAATTCTTATTTAGGGTCAAATTGTTATTTTAGTAAAAATGGACTTTAATGTACATGCACATACGCATATATATATATATATATATAAATATATATATATATATATATATATATATATATATATATAATTAGGTATCTTCAATAAAACGATACTTAAGGTTTAAAATGAATTTTAGAAATGGACAAATCTTTCTTGAAGCTTTAATTTTAATTTTAATTCCAAGCTAATGGATTAAATTTAATATTTCCAATAACCAAAATACTCTCCTGTATTTCAAACCGAATTTAAATTGTTTGGAATTTTATAATCACTAAAATCGTTTATATTGACAAATCTGTCAACACAACATAATTCTCTTGATTAAAAAGTATTTAAAAAAATAAACTATACCTTTTCTGAAAATTTATTTGGGATAGATTATCTGGTTTAACGTTTAATTAATCTGAATTAATGCAAATATTACTAATTTTTAGTTTTAAATATCGCAGAAAAGCATTTTTTAACACGGAGGTGTGTGTTTTATGAAATGCTGATAAATTTATCGATAGCTTAACGTTTGTCATTTTATGTAAAAGACACTTAACTGAAAAAATTATTAGATGAATATAACAGCAAAATCAAAATTACAATGAAGAAACTTTATTTATGAGTTCAAATGTCTCTTACGGAACTGTTCCTGATCAAACCGAATTCATAAATAATTACATCGGTTACACACTACATGCTTATCCGGACACTTTAAGTTACACCGATCCGACCACAGCTCCATTAGAATCCATTTAAATAAACACAGTCACCATCCGAAACATACTAGTAGAAAATACAAACATAATAACTCCATCTACATGTAAAAAAAGATTAAAAATAATGGAAATCATAATAATAAAAAAGAAAAAGCTAGCACTCAATAAAATTAACTACAAACACGGCTTAAATGCGCTGTGTTCGGAAAATAAAACATTTCTATAACTCTAGAAACATACACACCAATTAAAAAGCAACAATATAATCATCCTTGATAATGGCTAAAAGTATAGCCGAAAGCGCTCAGAATTATTACAGAATATTTGGACAGTTTCTACACACCATGTCTAGAAAAGAAAACACTTGTTTGAACACAAGAAAAATTAAATAAAAAGCTTAATCGTAGTACCTTGTCTGTCGTCTTTAATGAAACACACACACATATCTATCTCTCTATATATGTGTGTGTGTGCGCGCGCGCGCGCTATCTTCCCTTTTGCCGGAAAGATTCCAGCATTCACATGCATGGCCGTGGTGTCTATATCCGGGGTAATCTTTCGATGGCCAGAGAATTGTCTCTTGGGGCCCGTGACTATTCTTCATGTGCTTCTCTCTTTTTATCTTTAGCGTTCCCCTCCTCCCAGGATTGCAGAATATTAGACATAATAGCTGAAAAGGCACTTTCTCTCCAGCCATCTGCGAGCAACTTTGCCTTCGGTGACTCTAATGGTCACCATAACACGTGGCTGAAATATTGTAAAGGTATGCAGACATTAAATTTTTCCATTACCCAATCCCCTACTCAAATCGTTTCCCCCTTTACTTGATTTATTTCTCACCTCCTCTCCTCGCTCTTACCGAGCTTCGCAACATTTCCCTCTTGGCAACTCGGACCACTCTGTGGTATCCATTGATATTTCATTCCAGTCATCCAGTAAACAGGAACACCCTATTCATAAAACCTCTTTTCGTTACCAGCATGCTGATTGGGACTCACTTCGTGACGCCCCTTGGACTGACACCTTTAAACACCCAATTGAAAACTGCGCCACTGAGGTTTCTTCCTAAGTCAAAAGCCAGCATGGACGCTTTCATCGATCCTCTTCATAGTTGATACCAGTATGTTCGGCCGCTATCGCACACAGAAACCACTATTTTCAGCTATACCAGCGTGACATCTCTCGTTACAACAGGCGCATATTTATTACAGCCCGTAATAAATGTATGCGAGCCCTCCAAGGAGCTAAGCCCCTGTTTGTGAATGAGGCACCGCATAGCCCCCAAGAACTTTGGCTCTCGTGATTACTGGCGGCTCTATCATACGGTATTAAATAAGTGCAATCGCTTTGATGTGTTATCATACTCTGCTGATAAAGCTGAATGTTTTGCCTGTAAATTCTCCTCAAACTCTACCCTTGACATCTGGCGTATCCCTTCTAACTTCCCACTTAGAACTGAATCTCTGTTGAGTGATATGCATATAACCACATCTATGATTTCTACTATCATCTCTAACCTAGATCCCCACAAACCATGTGGACCCGATGATATCCCCATAATAGTCATTAAGAAGTGTGCTCCCGAACTGGCTCCTGTTCTCTCTAAATTGTATAATAAATGCCCCGCTGCATCGTCTGTTGTTTCAGTTTTTATGAACTCTGATGAACCGTTCGACCCTTCCAGCTATCGGACTATTAGCTTTCTACCACATTTTAGGAAACTCCTAGTGTCCACCAGGGCTCCATCCTTGGTCCTACTCAGTTTCTAATTTTCATTAATAACCTTCCTGATTACATCAGCTCTCAACTTGGCATCTACGCTGACGACACAACCATTTACTCCTGTTTCGATAGTAAGGTTTATCAGTCTGACAAGGTCAAAATGGCAACCGATGCCCAAAACGACTTCCAGTCCGTCGTTATCTGGGGCAAAAGATGGCTTGTTAATTTTAACGCCTCCAAAACCAAGATTCTCTCCATTAAACATTTGAGAGACTCCTCTCTGCCTTCCATCAGCATGGCTGATGCTAGCCTCTAAGAAAGCGACTCTTCACGGGCTAACGTTCTCAGCTGACATGAAGTGGAAAGACTATATTGAATCCATTGCTAGTTTAGCTGTCAAGAAAGTCGGTTAACTGTGTCGTGCGAGACAATTTTTCTCTCCAGAATCTCTCTTACATACCACTATCTACCATTCGCCTATGCTGCCACATATGATCAGGTGCCTCTGCTATTTACCTTGAACTCCTTGATAAAATCCTTGATAGAATCGGCAATATTATTAGTCCTGATCTGGTGGCTCGGCTTCGGTTACTTACCCACCGCCGTAAGGTTGCCTCCCTGTGCCCTTTCTATAAATACTTTCCTGCTAATTGTTCGGATGAGCTCTTCGATATGATACCTAGACTTTATGAATTTAAGCGTAGTAGCAGAATGGAGGCGAGATCTTATCAATTTACAGTTTAACTGACTAGATGTAACCGTAAGTTCTATGCTTACATTTTATTTTCTCACACTTTGTGGAACTCACTTCTGGCTCCATGCTTTCAATAATGTTGAAATAATGTTAATGTTCAATAATTTAAATGCAATGCCAATCGCTATCTATTGTCCTCCTGATTACTCTTTTCTCTTCTACTCATTATTAATGTTTCTGTTCTTAATTCTTCCACACCCTGTAACATCTGATGTTTTAGTGGCTTTACTGACTTAAATGCGGTGATACCGAAAAAATATTTATACAAAAACACACACACACACACACACACATATATATATATATATACTATTTACAGTGTTTGGACTGTTTTCCTCATCTTTATTGCCATATTCACGAATATGGCAATAAAAATGTGGAAAACAGATTAACAAGTCAAATAGCGTAAATAGTTATAGTAAAAATTATCTCAGAAATATATATATATATATATATATATATATATGATATTCAATAAAAAAAAACAAAATTATATAAAAATAACTAAAAGGTATATAAAAATAATAATACAATAAACTAGCTTTGTTTATTACACTTTCATTTGAGGGTGGTTAAAAAAATTAATTAAAAAATGAAAGTTACTAACACGTACTCTTTAAATAAAAAAATACTTCTATAATTACGCCAAACAGTTAATAAAAAGACTTGAATAACATTTTATGTGTAAAGCTTTGTACATGCGAAGCTCAAATTAATGTTGTAAACACACCACCAAAATGAATTCTGGCGATTTCTGAAAAAGAAGCATGCATAAAATTTTATTTTCAATTTTGAACAAAAAATGGTCTCAAGTTTTAGTCTCAAAACCCGCCTAAATAAAATTTGCAAGGAAGCGTGGTTTAAGTGATACATTTTGTGATTTTTAACCAATACGGAAAGTAAATTACGAACCCAAAGTATTGAATTTCCGATTCAAATCGGAGTCGATATGTAGGTAGTTATGAAGACGGGTTTGCTCGACAAAGTAGAAAAGATTTAGCTTTCACGGGCAAAAGTCGCTGGTAGCTGTTGGGAGGTCAAAAGCGAAATGAATTTTGGCTTTCACAGGTGAAAGTCGTTGATAGATATTCAATCAGTTATGTGCCATGCGGGATACACGCTTAGGCAAACATGTATTATATAATTATAATAATGTAACTGAGAAAATACGTGAAAATTATGATAATTTTACGTTTATTATCCAGGTCAGCCGAAATTCTATCAAAAAGCACCCAGTAGATAACTAGAGCTATAATATCTGTCTATATCTCTGAGATGAGGCATTATGATTACTTGCATTATATACTTTATTTGGACTGTTATCCTCATCTTCATTGCCATTGGAATTGGAGCAATCTTTCCCGGTGGGCGAAATAAAGCGTTCGGCTTGAAATTCCAATCACCAGAAGAAAACCGAAGCGTACAACGACCGAAAGGTTGTGAATATGGTAATGAAGATGAGGATAACAGTCCGAATAATGTAAATAATACAAGTATAGCTATAATATTCAATATAAAAGATAAAAACTCTAGCCGTTTAAGAATTTGAAATTTGAAAGTTAGAATTAGCGTCCATTCGCTCAGGAAGAATATAAATATGGGATCTGATAATAAATTCAATAGATTTATCAAACACATTTCTCGGATGAGCGTTTCGATGCGAATCTCTTGAATCGGCTAACCAGATAAGTCAATTGAACCTTTTCTTAACTATTGAATATATATATATATATATATATATATATATATATATATATATATATATATATATATATATATATTTTCTAAATCCCCAAAAACTTAACATGGAAAAGTATCCATGACACTTGGAATTCAGATAAGTGAATTATTTTTTCTCATTATATTGATGTGCTTTTTTATATAACGGGATAAGTTCGCCTATCGTCCGGTTCATACTCCTTCCCGGTCTTTTGAACGGGGAGTTTATCCCTTTTTTTTTTCCTGTTTAGAATTGGGTTTTCGGTTCCTTCTAATTTTTTTTTCATTCTCTTTCACTCTCAGTAGCTTCTTGCGCCTTAGTGGCATTATAGCCTTGCTTGGGAGTTAACTGATTAAAGAAAAATATATTTTAAGCCAACTGGGGCCCTATCATTTAGGCCACGGGAGACCATAATAGCAAGGCAAGACTCAATTACCCTATTTCAAAAATGCACATCTCTCGTTGGGAACCCCTGAAATCTAACTTCCGTAACATAAGCAAAGTAACTTTTAAACAAGTCGTAGATATTTTGTTAATCCAACGTCATTTCTTCTTACTATAAACGTTATTTTAGCGTTTCATGTGTTTGAGTAGACATCCCTGTTTTTTTTTTATTTTTTTTTTTTTTTAGAGCATATTAATAATAGAAGCACGCTTAATCACGACGATCTTCGTAGCCGAGACGGTTAAAGCACGTTGGATCTAACGGCGGTTTCTCCTGCAAAGGAGGACGCAGGTTTGAATCCTGTCAGAGGACGCATTTTCTTTAATACGATTTCTCAAATGTTCAGGTTCGTAGACGAAACAAAATATAGCTTAAACAATAAACAGAGCATCTACTCAAATATGGGTATCCACTAAAAATAACGTTAAAGTAATAAAAAAATATGTCGGTTTTATACATAAAAATACATTATTTCTTTAGAAATATATATACACTAAGTCCCCAATTTACGACAATCGCGACCTCCGACGATTCTATTAATCTTGCTTCGACTTAAGCCGTTTGTCTCGTATGTACGACGCAAACGGTGTAGCAGAAGAATACGTCATCAAACGGAACGAGAGTGAGGAAGGCAAAGAGCGTCAGTTCTTGATTTTACGCCATATTGGATTGTTGGCGGGTAAGTGCTTATTCACGGAAAATCGCGGATACGTCCCGGCTTACACGGAAAATCGCTTTACGACGCATCGTAGGAACAGAACTATGTAGTTAGTCGAGGACCCTCTGTGTGTGTATATATATATATATATATATAATAAAATTGGAGATAGCATGCAATTCTATTATTCAACGCGGGAAAAATTATTAAACATTTCATAATTATCCAAAAAACCTCCAGAACAAGTCAACTTTAAATTTGTTGAAAAAGTTCATATTATTAATCTGAAAAAAAATATTTTTCCAGAATTTATATTTCTCAGGTGCTAATGAACATTTCATTGGAAATTTGGACATTAACATCAATGCAGGTAGGAATCTTTCTTTAATTAAGGATAGCGCCTGTCCGCCGAGTAAATTCAACACGTTAGCAGTCGTCTTCGTTTATGTACAGCGTCCTTTTAAGACATGAGTGATCATGGCTCTTCTATGGGTTAAATAGTAGAACTTGTATCTGGACAAATTATTGTTGTTCATTAAAAAAATTGTTTTTGCAATATTCATTCGAAAAAAGAAATTCTTGCAATCCAAAAAAATGTTTCGGCTTTAAATAACCCACAAAGATTGATAAACCGTAAAAAATTAAAAAAAGAAAAAACAAACAAACAAACAAAATCAATCAACCCTACAAGTGGCATTGGCTTTCCCCGACCCTGTACCAAGGACAAGAATTCAGACCTCTTAACCTGCAATCCTATTTTCTTATCATTGAGCTTGTCTCGATACCGTTATTTAAAATGCTGCCAATATTTCTTTTTGTAGATAATACATTTTCTCTCCCCCAATTCCGCTTCTATATTCATACTTCTTTTTCTCATCGGCCAACGTTAAGGAAATGATGGTGCAGTTTAAAGAGGACCGGTCTAAGCTAAATAATAACACTTCTCCATTTATTAAACTACACTTGCCATTTCTATTAAACAAAATAGCCGGGCTCCATGAGTCATGTAATATGCTCGCGACACGACGACGAATCGTTGAATGAATGAGGTCGACAGTTTTATATTATTGGCCGGTTTAGAAATAGCGGAAAGTGAAAACAGAGAGCAATTATTCAAACAGATTGGTCGTTCGACTCTGCAGAACGCAAGAAGACAGAAAGAAAAGAGAGACGGCTATTAATTCAGATTTCTAAAAATGATGCCGTATTTCTTCTTCTTCCTCTGTTATGCGTTTATTTTGTTCCGTTTATTTCTCTGTTTAGTTTCCGGAGGAAAAAGTTTTTATTTTCTTTACTTAAGTTTTAATGAATAGACGGAGGAAAAATAGCGGAAAGAAAAGACGGTGGACTTTTTTTTTATATTCATTTTAAAATCCTAAACAGTTTCAGTTGATTTGGAGGGATTTTTTCAGAGGATGAGGGAACTAGATCAACGAAAAAAAAATGGATCTTCTCATTTAAATAAACGATCTGGCTGTTCGTTTGCACAAGTCAAGCGAGTGTTGGATCAATGATTATGGTATGGCGCAGATGATTTAAAAAAAAGTTATCAAGCCTCTCGATGACTCGTTTCCACACGTTCCTTAAAAAATAAATAAATCAATGAAATTTCTAAGTTCAAAATCGGGTAACGACCCTCCTTCGGAATTTTTACTATTTTTATTTGCGAGAAAAAATTATTTATTTGGGTCAAAATGGATGATGCCACTTTTTAAACAAAGGAAATCTAAAAAAAAAAAAAATAAATAAAGAGATCAACTTTTTACTTTAATGTTGCGTCCCGCGAAAAAAAAAATAGTACTTTGTTATTTAAAATGACATCTTGTCATGCATATTGTCACTTTTATTCCCTTTAGAACGTAGGTGATCATTATTCTTCACAGCTTCCTTTTTTTTTACTATTTGTGAATATATTCTTGGTAGAAAATAGCGGGATGGTTTTCCTTCTCGACGAATTTGATTTCAGAACTTTCTTTCTCTTTGTCTGACTGCCAGCCAAGGCTAAAAAGCCTAGTCTACCATGTTATTTAACCGATATATGGGGATAGAAGAGATGAATTCATAGCTTTCTGAGGGAATTTGTATGAAAGTGAGCACAACAGACGAGGCCAGAATTTGAACTCGGATCGCCAATTGCCTTTTCCATGATGATGATAACCGTTGCGCTATGGAATCGCCCTTTTATCAATGGAATACAAAGGGAATGGGGATGGGGATTATTCGTACACGGCATGGCGGTTTTGAACTAGCGAAACTAAATAATGAATGTATTTTGTCTGAATATTTGCCAAGGAAATAGCGATAGACTTTCTTAAAACCGTAAAAGTATCCAATCAATTTATTTTTTGGCAGTTTTTTTTTTTCTCTTTTCTTTACTTTAATGATTTGTTAATTTAATATTCAATGCCAGGGCCGGCGCCTAAGACCCCCAATGGCGGGGGAGGGGGCAGTCTGAATGAGGGCTCAGAGAACTGCTTTGTGACCCACGTCATCTTATCAACATTTGCTTTTTTCTAACTACATTTATACCTTGCAAATTAAAATATACGCAACTCATTATTAAAGGATAACAATTTTTTGCCTATCTTGACGTCAATTTGTTTTGCTAAATCCCGAAAAACATGATAAATAATTCAATATTTTTTATCGATAATGTTGATTGTTGAATGTGTTAAAAAATTATTCAACATTTAAAAATCACAAACTAATGTTAAAAATTGCCACAAAACATTGATTTGTCTGAGAGAATGATCTACAGGATGGTCTGAAAGTCTTATCATCTCTATATAATATAATTTTCCATTTCAGATGGTAGACACAAATTTCTACAGTTTGCAAGTTGGGGGCGGGGGGCTGACAAGACTTTTGGATCGCCTGTATTATAAGATTTCTCTTTGTATTAGATACATTGTATTTATTTTCGATTTTTCTAGTTGAAGTGTTCACTGATATTGCATATGATCAGTTATAATTAGGTTAGAATAAGATTTGTATTTTATACGACTACTACCTTATGAAAATTGAAATGTGGGGGATCATAGATTCGGGATGGTGGGTGCCACGACCGAGACCCTTGCACCGGCCCTGTTCAATGTTTTGAATTGAAGTTTTACTTACATTTATCATTTAACCGATATTTCGATGTCTCTTTTCTCTTGTCTGGTGCAGAGTCTCTAAATCATTGATCCAAATTCCCTTAGATTGGTTGAAAATTGAAATCCAAACGACACTCAGCGCAAACTGGACGAACTGAAATGTTGTAGAAAATCGAAAACAAAATTCAATAAAAAAAAATTAACCTTAAAAAGTAAAGTGCCTGCCTCCGTGCGACAGATTATCGTATTTTTCTAATCGTAACACAGTTTCTACGGCTCTAAAAAAAAAATCATTAATCTACGCGAAAGTCTTAATTTGTCCAGTTGATGTATAGTGAATTAAAAGAAAGATTAAATGGAAATCTCTCCCGTCTTGATTCTAATTTATTTGGGATGTAAAAAAATGAAATTTCATTAAAAATAATATTTTTTTTAATTTAATAAGCAAAAATAAATGTTTCACATAACTCGAGCTTAGATTAATTAACGAAGTCGATTATTTTTATTCATTTTTTTTCCGTGAAAACGTAAGTTATCGTCGAAAAAGAAAATATTTTCCTTCCGACTTAACACGACGTTGCTGAAAATTTGTCAATATATCCTCTTTTTTCTTTCTTTTTTTTTTTTTTTTTGGCAAACTTTTAGTCTCTACTAATGTCTACAAAAAACATAGTGGTAAAAAAAAACACTTCAAGCTAAAAAAAAAACCTTTATATTCCTAAAACTGAGCACAGTAAATAAATTTTCCTACCAATGTGGGCAGCGTTACAGTTACTCACACGGAAAAAAAAACGGCAACCGAAAATTCCGGCCTAATTACGAAAAGGCATGAATCCATTTGCCCCCTTTTCAGCCACGAATTAAATAGCAGCGTAAACTGAGCTCTTTAGCCTTGGGTAACAACCAGTTTAAAAGAATGACAACACTGTATTCAAAACTGTGGAGGAGGCAACGGGAAACCACTCTACCATCTTTTTCTAAGTTGTCATAATAAATAAGCGAGAGATGGAGAGTCGTGAGTCTATCCCAAAAGGACATGACATTAAAAATCCTTTATCTATTTAAGTATTTTAGAATTGTGTTTTATGATCTCTGTACCCCTCCTCCAAACAAAAAAGAAAAAAAAAATACTTGTGAATATGGTTGGCAACCGTCCCACCTAGCAGTACCTCCTCCATTACACTTAATGATCGGGTCACGTTTTATCACTAATAACTGAGACGTCCCGCAAAAAAGGGAAAGTGTCAAGTGAACAGGACAATATCTGGAACTACTGGTATGTTCGCATCGCGAGGACCCATGTGTCCAAACTGCTTTTGTAAGTGGGGGGGGGGATAAAGTTTTAAACTCTTTTAAGTGCCAGCTATATACTCGATTCCTGGAATTGAGCATGGGTTCTTCCTCGACGCAAACCAATATGAGCAACCAGTTGATCATTTTGTCATTCGTTGTGTACTTCGAATCCAAGCAAATTCGAAGTTCATTTTTCCTCGAGTTCGGTCTAATCCACAAGAACTTACTTTTGAAACGATATCCACGTAGCATGAATCTATATTTACCTAAACATCACGGTTGACTACCGGTTCAAATAATCTTTAGTGCCCTGCATTCCCGCCTCTTGTGACTATCCAGCCATTAGGTTTTCTTTCTTTAAGTGACATATAAAAATAATCCATTGAACAATGCAAACGACACGCGAGCCTGTATATGAATAAAGTGAGTAGGTACTTAGAGCACATATACTCAGCCCCTGGGGTGGGGTGAAATTGGAGGTCATCCACAAGTTTATTTATTTATTTATGGTGACACGAATTTTACCTTCTACCGTATCGAGAGCACCAATTTTTCACCGCCTAAATTAAAATAAGGTAATTTGGTATCAATTTAATCTAAAACGACAATGTGGTTTTACATTTCGTTCACCATCAAATTGGATCAATGAACGAATTTGATCAGTAAAATAATTTAAACAAATATTTGCATTATGCACTTCGTATTCCTCATCAAATATGGACCTTTTTTATTGGTTTCTATATTTTCTATTTTGTATTCAACATAAAATAGAAAATACGGAAAATATACTTAATTTCAGTAAGAAAAACTTTAATCGCTTTAAAACGTTCAACGAAAGATTACGGATTTAATTACCAAAACATTAATGTACAGATGTATGGATGATGATTGTATATATGCATAGAGACTCTGGCTGGATTGAAGAGTCATATACGTGTACATTGTCGTGCAGTGATCAATGAAGAGATACTGTTCTGACAAGAGGGCTGGATCATCATGTATGTATGTACAGATAGATAGGTATGAATATAGACAGATAAGAAGATCTATATATATATATATATATATATATATATATATATAGAGAGAGATAGATAGATAGATAGATAGATAGAGATGAATATAAATAGACAGGAATGAATATAGAAAGATAAGAATATGAATAGATAGATAGGTATGAATATAGATAGACAAGAATGTAAATAGATAAATAGATAAGTTCTATGATAATCTGAACATTTTTCAATATGGGTATGGGTCTTGAATGAGCCTTACTCAGAATAAGAAACTTACATCCAAACTGCGTCAAATTTAAGGAAATTATGCTACTCTAAAATAGTACCCGTAAAACAAACACATAGGGAAAAAAAGAAAGGCTAAATGAGCGAGTGTAAAGTGAAAAAAAAAAACGAAGAAAATAATCACGACACCCTCCACGTACACACATCCGCGCAGACGGATGCACGCGAGCGAACGCACATTCTTAGAGACCCGCGCATGGCTGCACACACAAACACAGAGAATACAGGAGAATACCAGTGTTCAATATGCATAAAAGAAAAAGAATCGAAAAATATAAGCAGTAAATTACTGATACCTCCTGAAGAGTGAACTCTGGAGTCGGGATACTGAAGGTGACATCAATCAGCTGAGTGACAATATTTATTGTTACGTAAAAATACAAACAAATGCGGCACAAGGCCAAAAAGGGGGATTGGGGAATGACGGTCTTCTTCTGTCATTAATCTAAAACTTAGCTAGTCACAGACACTGACCCAAACATGCCAACAATAAACCAATCACCAAAACATCACATTCACTCCTACCTTTCTTACTACGTCCACCATAATACCTCAGTTTCTCTATGACGTCCTAACTAGTCCCCATATATACAAATATTGTTCATGGGGGGAGGGTCTTAAAATAACAACTTTTAAAATCCCCAAATGAGTATTTACAAAATGAATTAATTATTTACAATAAAACTAAACAAAACTGAGTTAGTAATAAAACCCCCCACAAACTATGAATGTGGCAGAAATATCAGTTAACCGGCCGAAATCGATGCGGGACTAAGAAAAAGAGTACACATTCAAACCATCAAGCATTCACACAAACACTCACTCATTCATACACAACAACAAATACGAAAACACACACCCGAAACGAAAGGCGCCCCGCATCCACCAGAAAACTGACATCACTAACCACCTAACGAGGGAGGGGATGGGGAATTAAACAAAAGTAAAAAAGAGGACAGAAATAAAAAGGGCCCAATGAGCTTACATACACTAGCTAAGTTAACCGGAAAAAAAAGGAAACTAAAAATTCAAAAAACGAAAAACCTAGTCTAACCTAATATCTGGGTGGGTTGCCTATGTTCAACCCTGTTAGGACAAAATTCTGTACCTAACCGACATCCAAATGCCACTCTAGGTCAGCCCCTTTCACTCTACACATTCGCGCAAGATTCACCCACCTTTTGCCGAATTCTGATGATGGGAGCCGCCGCCTTTCCGTCCTAATCTTGACTTTAAGCTGATGCCTAAAGTACAAGATCAGTTGGGAAGAGGTGAACTTCTCGCCTCCATAGAATCCCTTCTGTCGCGTCGTCCAAATCACGACTCGCATAACCCCTAGTAAGCAACAGAACACATAGTGTTCAGCCTTCGTCAATTGCGATACCACATTAAATCAGCTGAGTGACAAACTTTTACTCACATTAATCACATATATATATATGTGTGTGTGTGTGTGATGCTTATCTATTCATTTCAACACGATAACAGAATTGAAAAAAGTAAGGGAGAAGTAAAAAGGGAAAAGAAGATATATAAGTGAAAGAAAAGAAAAGAGAAAAACGAAAAGAAAAGAGAAAAACGAAAAGAAAAGCGTGTGAACACAAAGGGAGAAAGAGATAGACAAATGAAAAAAAAGACGTAAACATGCTTGCTGTCTTGAGTTTTATTACTCTTTTGATCTTTTAAAAGGTTCGAAGCTTTTTTTTTCCTTCTTCATTTGGAGCGTGACGCACACCTTAGGTAGGCAAATCAATACTGCGGTATTAATATGGAAATGGAATCAGTACAATAAAATAGTCCATAGTTGTAACAAATTATCAAATAGGCGTATTTATAATTGATATTTTTGCACATATCTATGACAGGATAAAAGCGTACGTCTATATTTATGTTAGAAGAGTTGATTTGGAAACTGCTTATGTTATCTAAGTCTTGTAACAAGACTCTTGTTGGCGACTGGGTCTTTTCCGCCATTTTCTCTCTGTCCGGTTCTATTTATGTTATGTTGATAACCTGTAAATTGAGTATATATGCGTAAAAATGAATTCAGTCATTTTGGAATTCACAGGAAACGATCAAACTATTAATATATATTTTCTAAATTTAGCTTACCTTAGACACAGATTTCACAATAGTCAGACACGCGAATGAGAATCGAACTTCCTATGCCAGTCTACAAGATTAGCTTTTTAACTCTTTAGTCTTTGTAGATGATAATTCCCAGGTCGGATTTTCGGATTGTTGACAGGAAAACATAAATAAATTAATTAAAATTGAAAAGAAAAGAAAATACTTTGACTTCTGATTGCAAAGTTTTGGTTCTATTTATTTTTGTAACGACGCTCTTCTTGAACAAACATCAATCTACGTCCTGTAGCATCTTCGTGTGAAATAACGAATACTAAAAAAAGAAGACATTACGATGTTTGGAAATAAGAGAACTAAACTATTAAAAACAGAGGATCTGTTCTGTTAATTCACCCCAAATAATGTAAAGTTACTTATCACAAATATTAATTCACCTCAAGAAATTATAAATTTCAAATAAAAGTTTGTTTTTTTTATTAATTTTTTTGGCGCCATTTTGAAATTATAAATTGTAAATCAATGTTTGTTTGTTTTTTATTAAATTTTTGGCAATCTTTTGAAATTATAAATTTTAAATCAAAATTTGTTTATTTTGCCATGTAGTTGCAAGAGATAACAGTCTCCACATTATTGGAAAGAATCCGAAGCTGTATTTTACCTGGGACTATGATTATGTTGGATTGTTAGAAAAGATATACATCTTTGAAGGATGATCCCAATTCTATTCATCTGAATGTAAATCACAGTATGAATTTCGTTGATCCAGAAACATCAGCTCACAGGCAAACAATCGAAAGTATCTGGCGAAACGCCAAAATGAAGAATAAGTCAATGTTCGGGACTCATCGCAGAATGATAGACTCTGAATTCTGTGAGTTCCTTTGGAGACGTAAGGCAAAAAAAAAAAAAACAATGAATGCAATTTTTAAGAAATTTTAAAGGATATTTCTGAATTTTGGTATTAATTTTAGTAAACATAAATTCTTTTTGTTTTGGGATGAATTAATATTTTTGGGGTGAATTAACGGAAAAGATCCGAAACGGATAAAAATATCCAATAAAAGTTAATAATTAAGAAAAATAATTCGGCGAAAATCAAATAACATGGATACATTGGCGGATCATGCGCCTGTGCTGTTCGGGGGCGATTACAAAATTTGACACTCCTCTAAAAAAAAAAAAACATTTCCAAACTGGATACCATATAACATATAAAGAAAGGGGTACCCCCTGGGGGGGGGTAATGGTTAGCAAGCTTGTTTCGCTAGAACAATTACTAGTAGTGAGTTCGATCCCCACTGCTTGCCTCATATTTTTGGCCTTGTGCCACATCTAAGCTACGCTTAGAAAATCACTATGAAATATAAAGATTAGAATTATAGCCATTTACTTTGTTTTGATTGCTGACAAATAAATAAACAAAAACAAAATAATAATAACAAACTCATTCATTTTTTGTTGGAATGAGATGAAAAAAAAGGTATGACTAATTTTGTATGTTATTTCGTTATACCAATTCGTCTAAAAGCCGACCCCTAAAACTTATCGCACGAGGTGGACTACTTTTCCTGTCCCCTTCCTAGGTCGACCAATGCAGCGATAAATGTTTCCGTTTTATTTCACAATTCGAAATCCAATGAAACTGGCAGCTCAGCAATAGAAAGAGAAATGGAAGACACGGAATTTTAATTCTCAGTTTCAATTTCGAATTAATAAAAAATCCTTAAATTATAAAGTTTAAAATCTGAGTTTAGAAAGCCGAACACACATTAGAAAAGTAGGAAGAGCTTGGCTATTTTGAAAGCAATAATAATCAAAATGATGCAGTTTACTCACAATAAACATTACGAAATTCGCAACTAATTAAGATTCCACGGTGTTATAGAAATATTTGTACAGTACAATATTCAATTGCAGCTGGTGTAATGACCCCGGAAAGAGAAATTGTTGAGCGGAGTTCGAATCCGTTCGAGATCATTATATTCACTTTGGTACAAATCTCCTTGGGAAAATTATTAATCCATCCAGTCTCCACTATGAGTTAAATAGTAGGGCAGACTGGATTCTTTAGCATAGAAGGATTCTTAATTCAAAACTATAATTAAGGTTCCGTATTATTACAGTATAAGCCCAGGTTAACTCCGAGAGATTTGCAGTGTGCTTTCATATCGATGTCGTTCTGATGATGACTATCGTCAAGAGTACACCATATTTTTTTTGAGGTTTCGAAAGCTATTTTTCCTATACTAAATTATATGAATAAAAATACAAATATCAGTTAAAAGAAATTGCTGATAGTAAAAAAAAATGAGTGAAAAGTTTATAAAGATCCCATTATAAATTTGCTTGCATTTCCCCTTCGTTAGTTAGCACGACCGTTATGTCCTGCCAATATCTCATAAATAATGAACTATTCTCCGTTGTGATCGGTTTCAGTGATAAAATGAAGAAAGAAAGAAAGAAAGAAAGAAAGAAGGGAAAATAAAAGTGGAGAGAGAGAGAGAGAGAGAGAGAGAGAGAGAGAGAGAATCGGATTAAGCTGATAAGAACAGATACTACATTTTGATCTCAGACAAAAGTGCCAATTTTTACGCACAATATCGAAAGACGGAAACCGAGTAAGCAATCACTAAACATCCAATTACAATAAATAAAATAATATCGTTTGCTGAATTATTTTTTACTTTTTATTAAGAGAAATGTTCGTAAGACGGGGATTTGGAAAATAAGTAAGTAAAGAAAAAAAGTATCGTTTCCTGCCAATAGTTCATAAATAAATAGACTATTCCGTTTTGATCGCGTGTAAAGAGGGGAAGAGACATTATTTGATTTCAGTGAGAAAGTGAAAGAAAAAAAAAGAAGGGAAATTAGAAGTGTTTAACGGTGGTTTCAGTGAAATAAAAAAATGTTGTTAATTTCAAACATTTTCATTTTTAATTACTTCTTTAAATAACGATCAGCATTCATATTATTTATGAATGTTAAACAATATTTTGTTAAAGTTGTTAAGCTCAAATATTTAACGATGTGATAGAGGAATTTCTACGGATATTTTATTGTCGTGGAACTCGTCATTAGCTTATTCAATAAAAATTAAGAAGATACACCAGAAAATTTAAATAGGAAAACCATGAAATTTTCACGGGTCTTTCTACTGGTTTTATATTAATTTACTTTGAGAGCTTTCTTTCACATAGCAAACGTGATCATTTAGGATGCTAAGTTATGAGATGGCCCATGTCCGTACGGCTGTAAAAGACAGATTGGCACAGACCTGATCTGTACGCAGTGAAAGATGTTTATTTGCATATTAGTTTAGTCCGGCAAAAGAAATAAAAAAATAAAAATAAAATCAGGCGTTCCGTTTTCCAATGGAAGAGTTTATACTTTAAATGACATCGCCAATATTTTTAAATCCTGTTTTTTTTTTCTCTCGGTTACCAACCAGAGTTGTTAATCCTTGATTATTTTACAAGTTTGGAGGTTTATACATCAATTAAAAGGCTTTCTCTTCCTAGTTGTGTGTGTGTGTGTGTGTGTGTGTGTGTGTGTGTGTGTGTGTGTGTATGCGCGCGCGCGCGCGCCCACGAGAGAGAGAGTGAGTGTGTTCGATGCTAAAAACAGGGCTATTGCCCACAGGGCCATCGCGTGTAAACCCACCCACACACACGGAATAGGGGAGACCTGATTGTTATCAACTGATTATTAAAGGATGACAATTCTGGTGTCTTTTTATATTGTCCTCTGGGTTTTTTTCATTCTTAATGGAAAAATTTTAATTAACGTCTTTCGTCCTGTAAAATGTCTTATATTTAAATTTTATAAAAGTTAACACAACAGAGAGGTTAACCGCCCTCCTATATAAGCCAAAACAAAATATGATCATATAACGTGATTTCTTAAAAAGTAAAAAATAAAATATACAAATACACCGTTTGCTGGCCTGTTGGACGTGGATTTTAATTTTAAAAAATGCAACAAAGAAAAAATTAACCCTGCGTCTCATGTATGAGAGGGAGATGAAGACCATCAAAAAAAAAAAAAAGAAGTGGTGTTCACCAGGAATCTGTGCATGCATAGAGCTTAGCTTTGAAACTAGGAATCCTGAAAGTAAATAAACATGATATCAGTAAAAATATCCTTGAAAAATTCCCCAAGGAAAAAGAAATTAATGGAATTGCACAATATTTTGCTGCTTGTTTTGTTGAAATCCCAGATTTCACAGAAATATTTCCTTTGACTTGTATATTGCTACTTGCTTTGTGTGTGTTTTTTTTTGTTGATATACAGGTATTGGAATTGTCTTTTCTACATGTATGGGACTTCATTTACCAACAAGTACCATATTTCTGCGTTTATTTTTTTTTTGCCTATTACCATATGTACCAGTGTTCACCAATACCAGTAGATTTCTTTGTAGCTATTATGAATTTACTGTAGGTGTGTAGATATAGCTCCATGAAAAACAACTAAAACATTTTTCAATAAATGCATAATGAAATGTACAAAAATTCTTTTTTCCAAAAAATGTCCTGGTAATTAAACCTTACCTTACACTTCTATTTAAAAATAATAGTAGTTAGTATAATTTGTGCTAATACTGCAAGTATTTCTTTATGGTTAGTGAGAATGTAAAGGTAAGGTTATAATTTTTATTTATTTATTATTTTTTTTTTTTTTTGTGATGTGTGCATTTTTTCCTAAATATTCCATGTGAAAATCTGGGTGCATCCAATAGGCCGGCAAATACGGAACTTCAAACGTTAAAGGATACTTCGTATTTGAAATAGACGCCTTATTTTTATTTATTAAGCTGTGTGTAATACGTCTGTGCATTCAAGAAATCTTAGTAATGAAAATATGCAGGGATCGAATATGTCCCTCTTCGTAGGGGAAACCACCTTATGATCTGGCGTCATCTACCGCTCGGAAACGAAGAATATCGCAGTCAGCAAGAATCCATTTTCCTTTTTTTTCTCTTTTTTTTTTTTTTTTTTGAATAAAAGCCGATCCTTTTCACTCATTGAATTTTTCCCGAACGACCATATTTGCTAAGTTTCGTATCCGAAATGTAAACAAAGCAATTCTTAAAGAATTAATGGATTTATTTTTAATCCCGTATTTTCATTGCGTCAAACGTTATTAGTGGATATTTCGTATTTAAAATAGACGCCCCATATATTAAATTCGTAATCTGAAGTGTTTAATTGATAGTAGTATATAAAAAAGAATTTTTACATTTTATGAAATCATTTCGTATGAACATATTTTGTTTTGGCTTTCGTAGAGGGGATCAATATAAAATTAATTTACATATCAAACTGGACCCCACCCCCGTATTAAATTTTATAAAATGTAACATTTTTAATATAATCATGATCTGGAGTGTTTAATCTATAGCCATATGAAAATAAAATATTATTTCTGGTCGCATCTGAACAACGACACTGAGAATTTATTCTACACAAAGAAAATATTTTCGAGGCGTGTTTTATTTATTTATTTTTTTTTTTTTTAAGCAAATTAAAATTTGATGAAATTGCTTTTAGAAAATTTTGAAATATCGACTCTTTCAGGAATCGAATATTTTGTCAATTTGCCAATTCTCTTGTGAGATGTCCGACTCGATTGCATTTAAAGTTTGAAACAAATTTTCTTTTCATGAAACGTTCTTAGGTATTCTTATTCCTAATGGCTCAGATATGTTAATTAGGTTTTCTGCCAAGAGGTCTATTCGGCCAAGAAAGAATAAACGGTGGAGTAATGGATAGCGGCATGGATTGAGGAATCGGAGAGCCGAGTTCGAATTCCAGTCGAATCCATTACGTCCACTTACCCTTGGGAAAGGTATGAATCCTCTTCTTCTCCCTCCAGCTATGGGTAAATAGCAGGACAGACTGGGTTCTATAGCCTTAAATTCAAAACCTGCGGAGGGTCGTTTGGGGACCAGGTCTCTGTATTCGGCCCTTCAAAAAGTGTGGAGGGTCCTGTACGAAACCTTCACCACTATAATCAATTCTCATGTGCTGTTGTCGGGCTGTCGGTTTCCTGGGAACTGATCTGCTTGACTTTCATACGTCGAATTCGACGGGAGAGTCGAGTATATATATATATATATATATAAATAAATAAATTGAGATATTCTCAATGCACTTCCGACATCATATCGCTAAATCTGCCATCTTTAACAGTGGACCTATTTCTTGTCTTACAGACATATCACGTTGAAACACCGGTTCTCGTACGATCACTGAAGTTAAGCAACACCGAGCCTGCTCTGTATTTAGATGAGTAACTGCTTGGGAATACCAGGTGGTGTAAGCTTGGATGTGCGGTTAGTCTAATGGATAACAGCTCGGAATTGAAAATCGGAGAGCCGAGTTCCAATTCCACTCGGGTTCATTATACTCACTTACAAGCAAATGCCATTGGGAAAGGCATGGATCCACCGCTTCCAAAACCCAACAATATGGTTTGTATCAGTAAATCACTATTATCTCCAAAAAGTTCTTACAGTCTAAAAATATTTTCTGGCTTTAATTATGCAAAAAAAAAAAATCCCTTAAAAAACAAAAAAAAACAAACAAATCAATCTTGTGTGATGATGTCTTGTGCTACGTCATTTGTGATGCGGTCTACACCGCAGATGCCGATATCAGTAGCATTTGATTTCTAGTGCTTAGATTCTTTGCTGTTATTCTGCTATTAAGGTCCAAGATTTGCAGGCAGACAGAAAGAAGGCCAATATACACAAGGGTCTGAACTTTGACTTTTAGGCAGATGTTCCTGTCTTTCCAGATGGTTATTAGTTTTGCAACAGCTGCCATTGATTATACTGCCCTTGAAATTATTTTTATTCTGGAGCTGTCTTCACCGACAATCGAGACAAGCTATTTGAATCGGCTTACTATGTAAATTCTTGATCACCGATTTTTATATTGGCCTAACTTGATTTTAAGTTAATCTAAGAATGTCTAAAACATATACAAAGAATACATCTTTTCTTTCTGTATGATTTGGTACAGGTTTGTGGTACTGAGATCGAAACATCCGCCATGTTAAATTGATTCTTTATGTCTTGCAAACCATTCATTAAGTACATGTCCTTGCGAGTTTTCAGCAAATATATATCGTAGGGATGACTGACGGCATATCTCGCTAATTCAGAATTTAATGATTTCAAATCAACTTGATTCTGGATTAGTAAATTCCAGCGACATTAAAAGTGTTAAAAGACAAATTCACATATCCCAAATATGAAAATCTTGGGATTTAGAATATAACTTCGGACGATATGATCTATTGTGACAAGTTTATGAGTGTGCTTCGATGTTAGAATATGACTTTTTGATGGATAAAAAAAAATCGGGGCAAAGATTGACAAACGTGCCCGCAATAAGACGAAGTATAAAAAGGACCCCCCCAATAACATCGCTTTTTTTAACTACCTTCACCTTTAGCAACGTTTAGTTTTAAAAAGCGATAATTACGAATTGTAATAAAACCTAAACATATGAAAGTGAATTTATACACTGTCTTTGTTCTTGAGATTTGACAACAGAAATAATAAATAAACACTATATTTATTTATTAGTGTTTATTTACGCTATTTATTAGTGTTTATTTATACTATTATTTATTGGAATGGTTGGCAAACATCGGTTAGTTACCAACTGATCCGAGCTTTATAAAATGGTAAATAATAAGGATTCTTTATAGTTGATTCACACATTTTAATAATTTAGAAAATGTTTATTAATTTATGAATAAAAAAACTGTTTTCATATTTATTTCTTTATAAATTGGTAAATGATAGATATTCCATTGCATTAGTTTTTAGAATGTTGTAAATATAAAATTATTCTTGTAAATAAACTATCTAATAGTGTTTAATATTTTTGTTGTAAATTCACTTTCATCATATATTGAGGTTTTATTGCATTTCTAATCATTGTTTTTTAAACACAAACATTTCCGAATAGTGAAAGTAGTTAAAAAAATCGTTGTCATAGGAAAAACGTCCTTTTGTCACGTCATATTGCGGGCACATTTATCCATGTTTGTCAAATTCGGATTTTAAGGAGACTCGACTGACGATTACAAGTCGACCATTATTTCTGTAAATTCGATCCCTGTTGAGTCTGTCCCTTTCTTGCGGCCCTGTGTCAAGCACGGCCAAAAAGTGAAAAGATTTATTTTTGTTGGGTTCTAAATTAGTTTGGCGGTCACGTATCATCCAAGAAAATTATTTTCCCCGCTTAGCTTGGTGTGTGTTTGGGGGGCAGGAATCAGAATATGTTTCTCACACCAAAAACCTCTATATTAGGAGTTGAGTAGCATTATTACGACAATTGTTTACTGACTTTACCGTATTTTAATGTTAGGGTTTTCGGTAATAATACATTTGTGTGTGTGTGTGTGTTTCCTTTGTGCTTTTTGCTTGACTACCGTTTAACGGGTCCGCAATGCAATCTCATCACAATATTTTGACATGTACATCTCAGGTGAATAATCTGATCAGTATAACTGGCCTATTATTCCTACTTTATCTACCGTTAATTGTAATTAGGTTGAATATTAATTGCTTATTGGAGGCAAATCTAATAATATTTGAAATTATCTTTAAAATTATCAGTTGTTGTTCTGAGGTTTTTCTTTTAATTTAAATTAAAAGAAAACCTCAGAACAACAACTGATAATTTTAAGATAATTTCGCCTATTATTGTTAGATTTGCCTCAATAAGTAATTAATATTAAATGGAACTGATAAAAAAACACAGACACGGCGTAGAAGAATAAATTATTTATTCTTCGACGCCGTGTCTGTGTTTATCAATTCCATCATTTAATCAACTTTTATTCAATTCCCTGTTTTCCTCCAGGACCATGTGCCTGGTAAACGGTAGTCAAGCCTCCGTTTTTTTCCCCCTGTCTAGATAATGAGTTTCCAATACTTCTTGAGAAAAATCACGCAAGGCCTCTTGTTCGCTGCCCTAACCGTTGAGCCATGCTTGCATGTGCTTAAAAAAAAAAAAAAAAGCAGTGTTTGAATTAGCGATGAAGATGAATTCAAAATGACAAGAGTAAACTTTATTCAGTAATGCGTGTGTTTGGAAAGGTTTTTTTTTTTTTTTTTTTTACTTTTTGTTTTTACACGAAGTATTTGTTAGAAGTGAAGCCACTGCTTAAAAAAAGAAAAAGAAAAAAAAAAAGCAAGTCAGCTTCGACCAAACCGAACGCGTTTTCTCTTTCCTCTCTCTTGCTCCCTTTCCCCGCTGAGCAGAATAATCACTTGCTCGCCCTTCTCACCACTGATAATGTCCTGCTGCTCTCATAGGGAAACACTTCATTCATCTTTTAGGTGTTTGTTTTATCAAAGTTGGACGAAATGACCTGCCTAGGAAACAGAAGCCATCATTTTGCTCCGAAAGAAAAAAAAATCACTTCTACACTGCTTAGATGAAACTTTAACACAATGTAAAAAAAAAATAAAATGAAATAAATATAGATTCTTTAAAAAAAAAAAAAAAATCATATTTGTCTTACAGCTGAAATGGTTTCCATTCATTAAATAAAATTAAAAATACTTACATAGATAAATACACTTCATTAATGTCAAGTTTGACGTTTCAAAAATTTGCTGTTAAACAAACAATAAATTATGTAACGATTACAGGAGATGTAAACCGTGCGCGCCGATAGGGATGTAATGCGACATTTTTTTTTTTTAGTGCGGGACCTTTGTACAAGAAGAAGAGTAGTAATTTATTTACAGTACAAGATGTATTTTGAATTTTAATTTTTATTAATATTTCAATTTCATGAAAACATGATTTGTTGTGTGGGACTAGAGACAAGACTCGCTGCTAAACTGCGGGAAAAAAATGAATTCTTGCTCTGACTTAATTCAATATGTGATTAATGTTCTAATAATCTAAAGCACAGATGAAAAAAAAAAAAAAAATGTACCTCTCAACATAAAATGAATTTTAATTAAAAGATCCAATTTATGCGCGCGTGCGCACACACACAATACAACTCTTAAAGAGTTGTCTCTTTATGTATCACTATCAGGCTAAAAATAAAAATTATAGAGAGAATTATTCGCAAAAACAATTCACTGAAAAAAAGTGAAAAACGTTTTTTTTTTTTTTTTTAACCAACTTAACATGAACAGGAAAATAAGCGATTTATTTAATTTTAGCATTTTTTTTTCGAGATTTTTGATTAAAAATAAATGTGGGGAAGGGAAAATGAAATCAAGAGATATAAAGTAAAGATCTGCAAGTGATGTATAAACAATTTAACATGCTGAGAGCTACTTTAACAACGCACGTGGTGGTAGGTCTACCGAAGAAAGAAAGGAAAGAGCTAAAAACGTGAAAAAAAAAAAAAAAAAACAAACTGAAAAGTAAAGTTATTGTCACTGCAGAGAGCATTCAGATTTTGAGTGACTAATGAATGAAGTGGTAGGGGGCAAAAAGTGCATTGCAGGTGAAACGGCGGCTAGAACTTATTTTTAAAGATTTTGAAATGAGAAATAAATAAAGAAAATAACGAAAGAAGGAGAGAAATTTAAAAAGACGACGTGTATAAATTACAATACACAGAATCCGTGTTATTGCGACACAAAAAGCACGTGGTATTTCCTTTTGAAACAAGTTCTCTCGGCTTTCTGGACATTGTAGACAAGGGAGGTAATTACCGTTTCGCTTAAGCCTTAGCGTGTCTTCAGATTTTTTAAACTTCCTTTTTTTTTCTCACTTGGGTGGTCTATTTTGGAAGAAGAAAAGAAAAAGAAGAAAGAAAAAATAAAAGACATTAAAAGTTATTTTTACTTTTTACGATTATTCTTTCTATTGTAACTGAATCATAAATTTTCTGTTTCTGAAGGGGTAGGGGCGATAAAAAAAAACTTACTTTTACTTTTAAAAAAAGTGCATGTTTGATAAAAAGTATATTCAAACGGTATTCTTTCCTGAAAAAGCTACTCTACACTACAGATAGGAACTAATAAATTTTGCGCAAAGCGCCTGCTTATCAGTAACAAACATTACACTTCACGCTCTTATCAGTAATGTGTGTGTGTTTCGTCGGCTGCCTGCCCCAAAAGAATTTATTAATTCATAGCAACCCCCCCACACACACACCAAAAAAATAAATAAATACTGTATTATGGTTTGGTATTTGATTTGAATATATGACAAATTACATATTTTAAAAATTCGTTTATTAAATTGTTTTTCTTTCAAAAACTGATTCATATCAATTATTCATTTAAAATATTTTAAAGTTAGACGTATTTTTCTATAACTCGTTAAAAACATGACTTTGATGAGGGCAACTTAAGGCAAGAAAATACTTAAAAATCCATCTCGATTATAATTTATTTCATGAATATATTTTTATATATTCATCTCTTCAGACCAAAACTTTTTGTTAGAAAGTTTGTTTTTTATTTCTAAAAAAAACTTTCGGTCTGAAGAGATGAATATAAATATATGGATGAAATAAATTATAACCGAGATGGATTTTTAAGGATTTCCTTGACTTAATATTATATTGCTCTGTAACTTACATTGAGCTCTCTTCGCATCAATGTCCTCCTTGGAATTATCCCTACCAATTGGTATATATATATATATATATATATATATATATATATATATATATATATTTCTTATGCAGTGTTACATTAAAACATGCACATATCCACTACAAAATTGTACATTTTTGTTTCAACGTCAAAACGATTCCCCACCTGATGAGACGTTTTAAAAAAGTTTTTCTTTTTTTAACGTTTTAATGTAACACTGCATAAGAAATAAATACTTACGACTCTACTTTTTGTATTGAGCACTGTTTTTAGATTAATGTTTTGAACGCGGACATTTTACTGTTCGTTCTTGTACACTCTGATATATACTTTTTGTTGAGTTTGTTATCTGCACGCCCACGTGGTAATAGAATAACACAAACCGTTCAAAAATTGCCAAAGTCCCCTCGGCACTTCACCTTTTGGGGACGCCTCAGGTGCCGGGTAATGATCCCAGCTCCCTCGTCGGTCTTGAACTGATAGTAAGGTATTTTCAGTGAGCTCACGTTGCTACCGAATGTGACACAAGGTTGAGGCTTATGGGTTTACCAACAATATCATGGAAAAAATTGCTGAAGCCCTCTCGGCACTTCCCATTTTGGGGGATTCCTCAGATGCCGGGTAATGACCCCAGCACCCTGCTGAAGGAGAGGTACTGCTTTGGAGGATTGTCACTGGGGCTTGAGTTAATACTAATTTCAAATTATCCCGGAAGAGTTTAGTTTTTCTACAATAAACTTTAATTCACATTGTCCGACGGAAATGGAAACTTTTTATCGTCATGTATCAATATAAATTATTTCCAATTTTTCTATTTAGTTTTCAACAAGCCGTTTGTATGAAACATAAAAAAATTGAAAAGAATTTGCCAAAAAGGTATGGGTTCATTTTAGAAGTGTTAATAAATATATGAATCTTGGAATTAACATTATTTATGTAGTTAGCAAACAGTATTTTCTTTTTTTAAATTTTAATGAAATTCTCAAAATGAACAACTGCAAACTAGCAAATAGAAATATCAGTCGGAAGGTGTTTAAAATAGATTTCAAATTGTTACAGGAGAATGCATTGACAAACATCCGTCTATTTAGTTGTCATTTATCCCATGCCCACCTATCAACACTTTTTTTTCTTTAAAAAAAGTGAGGGTCTTCAAGGGGCTTAAAAACATGGCGACTTTGTTGTGCCATGCCACTTGATACTGCAATCAGCACACTGCTTAAAAATCATCTTGTGCGTTTTTTTAAGGTCCATCCTGTTTATTATTAACGGTGATCACTGATTTCAAAAGAAAATTATTCCACAAATTTTTATCCAATTTCTAAACCACTTTCAATGCGTCATTTATTTGTATACAAATGAAACACTGAAAGAGGTTTAAAAAATTGGATAAAAATTCGTTTTATTTCCCTTCTTTACTTTTTAAGGGCTTTACATTGGGGTGAACAGGCAGCTGAGAGAGTACTAAAGAATTGCAGGTTTACTTTTTATGAATGTGAGATTGAAAAAGAAATAAAAGAAAAGGGAGCAAGAGAAGAAAAAAGACAAAGAAAATAAAAAGCAACAGAAGTTTTAAAAAAAGGGGCGAAAAATATTTATATATATTCCTTCGTAGTTGGAAACAACTTGACCACGTGGTTATCGCAGAGTTTACAAGTGCAAGATTGAACAACTCAGAACAAACTTTTTTTTGTCATCGTACGACGTCGAATTTCCCTCACGGCAAAGATTGAATTATGCAACTTGAATGAAATGGTCTTTTATTGCTTATATCGGCCAATGTCAAATTATTACATCGCAAAAAAAAAAAAAAAGTTTATTTAAAATTTTACACGGTAATAATCTTATGTAGTGATTGTATCTTTTTAAGGTTTTTTTTAACGAATACACGGACTTGATAGAAAATTCACTAAAATAAGTATTTTAAAAATGGTTTGTCAAGTATTTGTAAAAATCTACAATACTTTCTTTACACAAGAGAAAAAGAAAAAACATTTTTTCGTTATTCGGCCTTTTAATGAATTATTTTTTGAAAAAAAAAAGTAATTATGCAGAATACATTGTTGCTTGTTACCAAAAAATATCTTGATTAGTATTGTTTTTGACGACTGTAGAGAAAGAATTAAAACAAAATATCGCCAATGAAAGTAAAATGCGTGAATTTCTATTAGAAAAATAAAACAGAAAATAGCGAGCGAATAAAGAAAGAAGAATGAGAAACAGACATTTTCTCATGTCACGGTGGGTCCTTTTAAAAATGCATGTGTCGCGTGTGAGTCAGTCACTCGACGAGTTGTTGACAGCTTTTCTTTTTTTTTTACTCTCCAAGTTCAAACGAAACGATCAAAAAATTGAATAAGAAGATGTACAAAGAAAAGAATCGTAACGATTGAATTGAAATGACACATCCCAACTTTCAGTTCGACATTTTTTTTTCAATTAGGAACACTAAATAGTTTTTTGGTACACCGACTTTTAATCACTTTTTATGAAAGGAAAAAAGTAATTTAAAAAATTCTATGAATTATTCTCTCTTCTTGAAAGAACTGGTTTTCGCTTTCATCGATTTTTTTAAAACTTGACATAAAATTAAGACGATGTGCTCATCATCGTTTGGCTAACGAAATAAATAATAATGACAAAATAAAACGTACGTTATTAAAAGAAGCTTCTTTCAAATTTTAAACTAGTTATTTTAATTTTTCATCACATTGTTGTTTGCCAAAATCTAATTTTTATATACTTTTATAAAAATTAAATAGCTACTTTAGAAGATGAAAGCCACTGATAATTCATTTTGTGAAAACTTAGAATTTGTCAACCATACTCCACAAATGAACTGGTAAGTCATCGCTCAAGTAAATATCAGATGAGCCGAGGTTCAATTGCAAGTTGTAAAGGATTTAAAAACCAAAACAATTTTTCTTCACTCCTAATTTCGTGACTTTGAAACAAATAAATTTAATTACAAATATTCATTTCAAGTTAATTTATTTATTTATTTTAATCATTTCACCCCAAGCAAGGCAATAAAGTCACTAAGACGCAATAAGTTACTGAGTGTGAGAGAATGATAAAAAGAAGAGAAAACAATAAACGAACAAGATTATGTTTTCTCAGGAGAAAAAGACCAAAATAAAACCTTTTAATTAATTTTTCATCTAAAAATGCACAACATATTTTTTCTTTTTTAAAATATTTAAGAAAAAAATTACTTATATGCGGTGATATTAACGGTGGAGAGAGGAAAATGAATGTAACTGTACAGGAATTGCTGTTCTAGTGATGATTATCAGTGACGCCCACATGTGATGAGGCCCCTAAAGAGCTGGGTTCTTCTTGCAAGATGGAGGAATTTACTAGAGACATAAACACGCCTGCGCACGCACCTACAACAAAAAATAACCTGTACAACGGCAACATGAAACATGGGCTTATGAAACAATTACAGGGAAAAAGACAATTCAAGCCGGGAAAAGTAGGAAGAGAGAGAGAAAAAAAAAGCAAATTGCATATTTTTAAAAACCCGAAAACAAATTATTATGAGTGTAAAAAGTTTTTTTTTTTAAAAAAAAAAGAGATTGAAAATAACTCCTTACAAAATGGATTGATGGGGGACCAATGCACTTTTAAAATATCAAAGTAAAAGAATTTAGATCGAGCAACAAAATGCATTGTCATTTAATTATTTTATCTACTTTTTATTATTAATAATGTTTAATGTTGATCAATATTATTCAGGAAAAAATTAGACAAACGATTTTTAAAAAAATAT